GGGGCCGCCTTGGGACGGCGCGCGGCGGGCACGTCCTCGGGCGCGCGGCGGCCCGAGCAGTAAAGTCGTTTGTGCACGTAGTAGTTGTTGACGTTGTTGAAGGTGATCTCGCACTCGAAGCACGTGGCACCCTTCGGGGACCCGGCGAAGAGGCCTGCCGGCGCGCCCCCCGCGCCCTGCTGCAGCCGGCTGTGCACCAGCTCGGACATCTTGGCCAGGATCTCCGAGGCGGGGGGCGCCGCATCCGGCGCGAACACGTACTGCGGCAGGAAGAGGGCCCCGGCCAGGCCCAGCTCGCCAGGCCCTGGGCTGGAACCCGGTGTGGGGCTGGACAGCTCGGCCTTCACCCTGGCCGGAGCAGGGCTGGGAGGCGATGGTGTCCGCGAAGGGGCCTGGGGCCCTGGCTCTCTGGGGCCGGGGGCGCGGGCCGCCTCGGGCTCCTCCGCCACCTCCACCTTGATGCTCCTGGGGGCCGCCGGGGACTCGCTGCTGCCTCCATTCTGGGGGGTCACTCTGGCCTCTCCGTTGGTGGCCTCGGCCTGGGCCTTCCTGTCTCGTCCTGGAGATGCGGTGGGCGCCAGGCTCAGATCTGCTGAGGCCAGAGGGCTGTGCAGGGCCGTGTGCTGCTGGAAGGTGGCCAGATTCTCTGCAAGGAGACCGCAGGGCCCTCGCTTCAGGCCTGGGGCGGGACCTGGCTGGGCCACAGCTGGAGTGCTGGGCTGGGCAGAGGTCCAGGCTCAGATCTGCTGAGGCCAGAGGGCTGTGCAGGGCCGTGTGCTGCTGGAAGGTGGCCAGATTCTCTGCAAGGAGACCGCAGGGCCCTCGCTTCAGGCCTGGGGCGGGACCTGGCTGGGCCACAGCTGGAGTGCTGGGCTGGGCAGAGGTGGTTCAGGGCTAAGGCTGAAGTTGACCCGCCCCCTGCTTTGTTGATAAGCCCCCCCCCCCCATTCCTCAGTGGGCCCCATAGGCAGTGGTAGCCTGGCTCAGGCTGCTCACCTGGGGGGAGCTTGGCAGCTGGGTGTCCAGCCCCTGGCGAGTAGATCTCACCCTTGGACCCTGGCTGGCAGACCATGTGGTTGGTTACCAGGTGGCTGTAGAGGATGTCCCTTGTGGTGGAGATGAAGCCGCAACTGTGACAGACACCTGCGGGCCATGCTGTGGTGGTCAGGGCCCTGAGGCCTCGGCCCTGACCCCACGGACCCCAGCCCCGCCTGCCCACGTACCGCTCAGCGTATCCGTGTGCACCTTGAGGTGCCGCTCGCAGTTGGCCTTGGTGGTGAAGGCCGACAGGCAGATCAGGCACACAAAGGGACGCTCTCCTGGAACACAGGGCAGGTGAGGGCCGGTCCCCGGAGCCCAGCCTGGCCTTGGATTCCAGTGACCAGGATGGTGGGCACTGGGCCCAGGGCTCAGTCTGTGACACGGTCTGAGGGAGAAGGGTTCTTTAAACTCCTTCTTGGACCCTTGTCTCCCAGGACTCCAGCAAGGGCCCATCCCTAAGCTGACCATCCAGACAGCTGCAGGTGGGCCCCCTGCTCTGGGAGCCCTGTGGGGGGCCTTGAGGTGTGATAAGAAGAGGACACAGGCCACCACGCTGGTTTTCCTGGTACTGTGCTGTTCTGAGAGCCTGTCTGGTCTGTGGTATGGCGCTGAGGGCGCGCTGCGCTGATGAGAGGAAGTGAGGGGCATTTTAAGAAGGGGGGAGGGGGCGCTCACCGCTGTGGCTGCGCATGTGGATCTCCAGGGAGCTGGCGCTGGGGCAGCTTTTGCGGCACTGGGGGAAGGGGCAGATGCGTTCATTGGGGTAAGTCTCCTTGGGTTTCTCGTCTGCAGCAGCCGTGGTAGGGGAGCTGGCGCTCTGGCGGCTGGCACAGTAGTAGAGGAGGTGGGCTTGCAGGTTGCGCTCGCTGCGGTACCAGATGCCGCAGTCCTTGCAGGGGAAGACGTCTTCTGTGAGGGTGAGGGGAGGACACAGGCTGAGGGTGGGCATGTGGAGGCAGGGGGCATGAGGGCCTTGCTCCACTGACCCCAATGTCCTTGCAGCCTAGAGGAAACGAGGTTCCAACCCCTCCAGGTAACTTATCCCTCCTCGACTGTCCTTTGATAACTCCGGCCCTTTCCTATAGATTTCCAGGATGCTTTGGGACCCATGAGGAATTGCCCTGTGCCTGCCTCCTCAGAGCCCCCCTTCCAGTGGTGAGCCCCATATGGAGACATTGGGGCCTCGTGGGGGGAGCCCAAGGAAGCAGTGTGGACAGAGGGAGGCTGGTTGCGTATGATGTGGCTGGGGTGAGCACAGGTGTGTGGGTGGCTGCACAGGGAACCCACATGCACGGTCCCCTAGCACTCAGGCGCTAGGATAGCAGTCAAGTGAGGCTCTGGGCGGCTTTGGGGAGTGAGGCCGGAGCTGCAGAAGCTGAGAGCCCTCCTTGTCTGTTGCTTCCCCACACCTGGATGGCTCCATGGCAGTTACTGACGGAATGCTCAGATTTGCTGAGTTCACCAAATTTACCCCAAATGAACTGTGTGTAATTTTTCAGAGTTTGTGGGGTTTTGGACTGCCCAGTGTGGCTTCACCAGCTGGTGAGGATTCCTCTAACAGGTACTCAGCCAGTTCTCTGTTCCCAGTTTGCCTTTTTAGCAGGACTTTAAGGAATATTCTGTTTGTTTCTGTCCCAGATCCCTGTTCCATCTGCCCGCAGCCCCTTGGCTGAAGACAGGGAAGGGGGAGGGCTTGTTCTGCTTGGCCATGACCTTGATGTAAAACTGAGGGGCCCTGGATTCCTTAGCTGGCTCTTAAGCCCGTTCCATTTAGAGGCTGATGTGATATCTACTTTCTGCTTCTGCAAGTTAGTACTTGTTTCTCACCTGGCTTCTCCAATATTTATCCTGAGCCCACAGTCATCACAGAGGGGGTGGTCCCCCTCTCCCCAGGAGGCTGCCAGGTTTTCACTTTTGCCTCTTCTAAGGAATTTATGGGCCCATGTGTTTGGGTAAGGTGGCCTCTTCCTCCCATCTACCTGTAGTTTTTCTGGTAACTTCTGGCTCAAATCTCCTTCCTATTATGTTATTTCTGTTTTTCAAGTCCCCTTTTATTTGGGAGCCTCAGCTCTGTTCTCTCTCAGCTGAGGCCTTGAGCTGGGATCCGAGAGGCACCAGGTCGTTTGTTTCTGTATCTGCAAGGTCATTGCTGGGAACTGTGCTACTGGCTGGGGTGTGGGGACAGGGGCCATAGCCCGGAAACTTAGCTAGGATGGTCACAGACCACTGGCCACAGGCCAGGCTCGTGTGACCTGCACCAAAGCCATGAGGCTGATACTGCCCTTATCCCCAGGATGGTGGAGTTTCAAGATTGAACCCAGATCTGACTGACTCTTCCAGACCACCAGCTTAGCAGAAGCCCGTGCCCCATCACCTGTGGAAAAGCAGGATTTGGAAATGTAGCAAGATGTCCAGCCAGCCCACTGTGGTGTCTCTTAAGTGAAACGTTCCCATGAGGACGGACCCCAGGGACTCAAACCTGAGAGGAGGAAACCGAGGCCCAGCAGGGCTGAGCTGGGGCTCCCTGCACTCACCCATCAGAGCAGCCAGACAAGGCCCCAGGAGGAGGCAGGGAGGCAGGCTCTGCGGGCTGTGGGGAAGGAGACTGCCAGAGGGTTTGGGACCCTCTCTCACCCCGTGAGGCTTGCTGCTGGCCCACTTCCCCTGCCCTAGCGAGGTGGCCGCCCTGGCCCGAGCGGCTGTTACAGCCTTCCATCTCCCTCAAACCTTGGCACCCCCCACCCCGGTAGGAGACAAAGCCAGCGGACCCTGTTTGCCTACTGCCTCCTCTTAGCCCTCCATGTTCTTGCCCCCCCCATCCACCTGGGACCTTGCCTGACCAGCCCCCCACTCTGGCACGGACCCCATATCTGCCATGCATGCTCTCTGATGTCACCAGTTTCTCTTTCTCCCCTGGTCACTTCCACTGGGACATGAGCTTGTGCTGGAATTGCCCTGGTACCAGCCACGCAGGCCCAGACCCCTGACCAGCTCATCTCTGTCCCCCACCACGTGTCTCCTCTCTGCTGACTTGCTCAGTTGGACTAGCTTTGGCCAGGGTCACAGTGACCTCTGTGCTGCCAGGTCCAGTCCCCACTTCCTTGCTCTCAGTCTTGCCACAAGCTGAACACAGCAGACCCTCCCCCCCAATACTTTCACGGCAGCTCACTCTGTCCCCTGGCAGATGCCCCTCTCCCCCGACTTTGGTGTCCGGAGTGCTGTGGCTCTCTCTTTGCGGCTCTGTCTGGTTTTGACCTTGGCCCTGAGCCCCAGCTGTGACTATCAGCAGGTTCCAAGGTTCCCTTTTAGTGTCTGGCAGGCGTCTTGAGGTCAGGACGCTCAGAGTGGGGGTCTTCTCCGTCAGACTGGGTGTACTGACCAATGTCCACCTGCACGGCTACACCAGAGCCCCGTGGCCTCATGCCTGGCTTGCGTCCTTCCCCCACCTGTGGGCCCTGCTTGCCTCAGCGCTGGAGCTACCTGCTGCCTGCACCTACTTCAAGCCGTCTTTGTGTTTGACTTGCTCAACAAGGTCACACTTGTGCCAGTTTTGTAGCCCTAGAGTCTCCACCTAGCAGCCAGGGTGACTGAAACTAAATCCGATCTTCACTTCCTTGCGTAAAAGCGCTCTGGTGCAGTCCTTGCTCCAAGAAGAAATCCAGGCCCCTTGCTGGAGCCTCCCTTGGAGGAGCCCCCTGCACACTTCTGCCACCCCCATAGGGCTGCCCATGCGGCCGCTGTGTCCCATGCGGCTGCTGTGTCCCAGCCTGACACGGTGACATTGAGTCTCAGCTTAACCAATATCTCCTGAGAGCGGTGTTCTGAGCAACCCATAAGAGCAGCCCCCAGCTGGTCTTACCACGTCATCCCACCGCTCATGGGATATGCCGACGTCTGAGGTTGTCTTCCTTCTCAATAAAGCCACTGTTTGCCTCTCTGGAGTGGTGGCTCCCCCAGGGCAGGCCAGTGCCGCCACCTCAGTGACCCCAATGCCTTGAACACTGCTTGGTTCACAGTGGATGTAAAGTGATTATCTGTGAGACGAGGGAATCCTGATTCTCACAGCCACTCTCCAAGGTTCAGAGAGCCACTGGCAAGAAGTCACAGTCTTTCCTCCTCCAGGGGTGGCTTTGTCCCCTAGGAACATCTGGCCACATCTAGAGATATTTGCATTGTGGCAACTGGGAGGTAGGTGGTTGTGACATCTAGGGGGCTGAGGCCAGGGATGCTGCTTAATAGCCCACAGGGCACAGGACCATGGAACTGTCCCCACCATGGAACTGTCCGATCCCTGGTGTTAGATGCTGAGGCTGAGGAACCTGCCCTGTTTCAAGGCCAGTGCTGCTGCCGCTATCAAAACTGGCCTTGCTGCCCACCCTCTGGGGAGTGGCACAAGCCTGGTTTGGCATGGAGGGAAGGGTCAGAGCCAGGTTTGTGCCTCAAGCCTGCCTGCCTGCTGGGCCTCTTCCCACTATGTGACCCTAACCTTGGTGACCCACATCCCTGTGTTAAAGCTTGGCTCACACTGCTGCCCCATCTCCATGATACCGACACCTGCAGCCTGGCTGGGGCTGCCCCCTCAGGAGGCTTAGGGTGACCACATTGACTTCCCTTCCTGTCTCTGTTCTTCCTGCAGCCAGGAGCCCCGTGCCCGGGCACACTCACTGTTGATGACCGCCGTGGCGAGGATGGATGCCATCCCGGCCTGCTGGGGTAGCAGATGGATGTCACTGTGTATGGGGGCTGGGCTCGTGGGCTCCACTGGCTCCTTCTTCATGGGGTGGCTGGGGGTGCTGCAGTGCTCGGCCACCAGGAGCACGCTCAGGAGTCCACCTGCTGGCACCGGCCTGGTGACCCTGCACCAGAGGGCTTCATCTGGAGGGATACAGGCATCTGTGATGCTAGGGGCTGCAGCCCTGGGCACCCGCTGCTACCTGCCCCTTGATCCTCCTGTGCCTCTCTGCACTGCCTCATCTTCACTTGGGCTTTCAAGTCTGGGGTGGGGGCTGGGGTTGGTGCCTGGCCAGGTGGCTGTGGCTGTTGGTTTCGATGCATGCCACCCTGCCTCTAGGGGCGAGGCGAAGTGGTCCCCTGGGTGTAGGGCGCTCATGCCTGCTAGCTCCTTGGGCCTCCCTGTCCTGTGCCTATCCTAGTGGGAGGGCCCTGAGAGCCAGCACATTGCCCTGTTCTCCAGGAAGGGCATGATGTGTAGGACAGGTGGTGGAACAACAGGGGGGGAGGACCCTGAGTGGCGACTCGGGCCCCCCAAACCCCCGAGAAAGTGGCTGGAGGTGTGGGTCCTGGAATGGCCCCCTACCCTCTGTTGAAATCAGCCAGGTGTGGCTGTTCCTGCAGCAGCCTGTAGGGGGCAGCCTCGGCCAATAAAATCCAGACTGAGCGGGGCGGCTGGTCCGCCTACAGTGCCTACAGTCCCCAGGCTGCGCTTTCATGTGAGGAGTGGGCTGGAGAGGGGCTGCCACCCACTAGTACACGTGCTGCCGCGGTGGGTCCGTCTGAGGCTGGAGAGCCTTAGGGATCACGGCGTCCTAGACTGCCCCCAGGAAACAACCAGAGGTGAAGGCCCACCCCCTTACCCGTGAGGTCACCGTCATCCGCATGGACACTGCAAGGACCCTTGTCCTGCCCTGTGACCACACTGGGCTGGAGCCCTGCTGACCAGGCCGGGCAGTGCTAACTGGCCCTTGTCTGGGCTGGGTGCGCAAACACGTGGCTGGCTGCTTGCAGCCAACGCCAGCCCCACTGTTTTGAGTACGTTTCTTCCTGGTCTGACTGCTCTCTCTGGGTCTGTAGAGCACCCATTGGCAGGAAGAAGGGCAGGGGTCCTCTGCCTTACAAATGGAGAAACTGAGCACACAGGGGTGAAGTGCTGGCCCAGGCCCCCCTCTGCACAGGCCATCACCCCCTGGGAGGCCCCCAGGCGTGGGAAACTCTTTAGAGTGACGGCCCCGCCTGCATGGCCTCAGGATGGAGCTGCGCCTCCACTGGGGACGTGCAGCTGAGTGTGCCATGTGCTCAGGAGGTGGCTCCATGGGTGGCAGCCCCAGAACATTCTACAAACGAACCCCCATAGGGGAATGAGGTGGATTTCTGGTGTCAGTGGGTGCACAGCCATCACTGGCCTGTAGAAGTCACAAGCATGTGTCCCCACATCCTCCCCTTGGACCTCAGCCTCTCTCCACGTCTTTAACCAGGGGGCCTCCCATGGCCCTGACCCCTGAGAGCCTCACGTACTGGGAAGGCTGTGCCTTGATTTCCGCAGGAATGACCCCCCTCTCCAGGGCAGAATGGGGGGCTGTCACTACAGCCAAGTCTCTGAAGAACAAAGTGTGGGTGGGCGATTCCCGAGAGCTGTGCCCCCCCACCCCCACCCAGCCATGTGTCTGTGTCCTGGACTTTCTTCCTGTGCTGAGAGGACTGGCTGTGAGGGGACTCCTTCCTGCTCTACCTCCTTCCTCCCAGGCCTCCCCCCACCCTAGCCCTGCCACTTCTTCTAGAAGGTGTGGGAGACAAGAGGGAAGCCGCGGGGCCAGGCAAGTGCAGGGAGCGAGCCCCAGGGGTCTGAGTAAACTTTTCCCTCAGCCCCCTACCCATCTTCCAGATAGAGAAACAGGCCTCAGAAGATGAAGGGACTTCCCAAGGTCTCACAGCTAGTAAGGGGCACAGCTGGGTTTGAGCACAGTCCTGACTGCCCTGGAGCCAGTGAGACTGCATGGGGCCCTGGTCTAATGGGCACCTGTAGCCGGGCCCACTGCCCCGGCCAGCCTGGGCTTCAGGATCCCTGCCACTGCCCCTCAGTGGTCTCCCAGAGGCCCCAACAGCAGTCATTGTCCGAGTCGGGGAGAAGGAGAGAACCCCCACCCCCAGCGGCGGACGTCTTACTGGGTCCAAACTGCCTGGGTGGCTTCTTCCTAAATGATTTGACTGGGTCCTGGTTTATCTGAGTTGAGCATCTGCCTCAGACTGCAGTTCCAGGGGCCAGGACGGGATGGGTCCCTGGTCACTCAGCATGGGGTGCAGGGGTGGCCTGGCCGTACCAGGGAGCAGCTCGCCTCCCCCCACCCATGGCCCAAACAGGCTGGTTTCCCTTTAAAGGCCCAGCCCAGGGAGAGCCAAGTGACCCCACCTTCCAGAAGGCCACAGGCCAGGAGGGCAGTGCTGCAGGATACCAACCCTTCCTGTAGATCTCTGCGTTGGCTTCAGCCTCAGTCACGGCTCTGGGCAGCATCCTCAGCCAGCAGGCCTTGTCCACCAGCAGCAGGGTCAGGGCCGGGCTCTGGGGAGAGCGAGGTGGAAGGCAGTCAACAAAGGAAGGTTGCAGCACCCTGCTGCGGGGCACATGGGGGATGCCTGTGAGACTGGGGCTCTGCTGCCGCCCGGTGGGAGCTGCCAGGCTGGGCTGTGGACACTCACGGTGTGTGTGGTCATGGGCCCAGCAGCTGACAGGGAGTGTGGCATGTACCGTCCTGTGTCACAGCACCGGCCAGCAGGGCTGAGAGGGTGGCCAGCTCCCTGTCACACACTGTGCTGGAACACAGAGGTCTGTGTCTGGGCACTGGGTTCTCTTGGCAACTAAGCCCCAGAAAGGTCAAGCAACATGCCCAAGGTCACACAGCCAGCAAGTGGCAAAGACTGAGCTGCACCCAGTTCTACATTCTCTCCTGTGCCCTGCCCCAGCCTTGGTGGGGCTGCTGGCTGGGATGACACAGTCCACGTGGACACCTCCAAAATGAGCTCCGTGGGCTGAGGCCAAGATCACCCAGAGTAGATGGCATCTCCCTAGAGATGGACTGCTGTGTCCTCTCGGGCCTTGGGGTTCTCTCCTGACAGTGGGGTTCCCCTCCCTGCTGCAGGGCATGGCAGGGCCCCCTTGATCCCTGTCCACTTCCTGGACCAGCACACGCAGACCTGGGCCCAGCAGCACTCCGTCCCCACTCTGAGGCTGGCTAGGCACCAGCCCCCTCCCCGAGGGCCCTAGAGACAGATGGTGTTGTGTCGGGTCAGCCCCTGGCCCCTCCAGCCCCACTGTCCCCCCATTTCACAGATGAGGAAACTGAGGCACGGGAAGAGGAGTGCCAGCACCGCCTTGGCCATGCCATGCTCTCCCTTTGCAGCTCGGCCTGAGAGCCGGGCCCTCGCAGCGCCTGGAAGGAAGGAGCACTCAGCCCAGCCCTTAAGGCTGCTGCCTCATTTCCTGCGCCCCTGCACCCTGGCCCCCAGCCCGGCAGCAGAGGAAACGCACGTGGCCCCTGTCTCAGGGCAGCCTGGTGCTGGGAGAGGGCTGGGGTGGGACAGCCTGGGAGGTGTGGCCCACAGGCAGAAGCCTGCCTTACTCTGTGTCGGGAGGTTGGGGTGATGTCTGCTTCCTCCATGGGCCTCAGCCCCCTCCCACAGGGCTGAGTCCACCCCCACCCCCGCCCCAGTTCTGTGCTCGCTCCTCCACATGGTGGTCCCAAGCTCAGCCAACCGGGTACCCTATGGACAAGCACAGGGCAGGTCCGTGCTTGAATGTTTTCCTGTAAACATACTTGTTTTATGTTTTACACAAATAAATGACTTTTAACCAGAAATTCTGCATCAAGACCTTTAACTGAAAACCCAGCATCACCTGGAGGTGCTGCTGCCTGCATAGGACGGTTTTGTGTACTTGTGGCGAGTATGGCGGTCAGGCTGGCACTCCCCCGGTAGGAAGGCTGTGTGTTTGGCTGGGGTGGAAGGAGAAACTGGGTTGGCAAAAGTGTGTAGAGGTGTCGCTGGTGGGGTTCTGGGGCACCTCCCTGCACCAAGGCCATGCACTTTCCTGGGTTTTGCCTGTCATGCCTGGGGACTGCCTTAGCTTCTGAGCGAGGCCTCCCCTCCATAACCTCAGGCTGGGCACCACCTGGATCCCCTCTGCATCCTGGCCCCATCCACGTGGCACGTGCAGGGATCCAGTGAGATAAGGCCTGCTGGCTGGGAACTCATGGTGACAACTCATGGCAAGGGCAGGGCAGCCTGGCCAGGGGAGCCAGTGACTTCTGCATCACCTGCCTGCAGCCACGTGGCTCAGTCATGGAACAGGTGAGTGGAGATAAGCCCTGACCCCAGGAAGGGAGGTGTGCAGTCCCTGCCCCCAGCTTGGTTTCTCACCTGCAAACAGGTGATGCCCCCCAACCCCCCACGGACCTGTTGCCAGGTGGCGGGGAGGCCTGAGCCTCTGCCCGCTCTGGCCCGTCCTTGTCCTGCCACCAGCTTTCTGGGGAACCTCAGGAGAGTCACTTCCATCTCTCTGTGACTGAGCTTCCTGCCAGTGTGCTGGGAAGTAGTGATCTGTGGGAAGCTCTTTGAAAGTGCCTGCCTGGCGCGCACCCCGCACACGACACAGATGGGCTCCGGCACCCTGCTTTTGCTTTCCCTTCGGCTGCAGGAGAAGCCGGGCAGGGTGGGTCCACAGGGGCCCAGACCAGGCCAGCCTTAGCCAAATGTCAATTCTGGGTCAGTATCTCCTCCAAAGAGCCTGCACCAGGCAGGCTGGTGGCAGGTGGGCACCCCACTTATGATAGATGCCCTGAAGGTTCCCAGGGCTGCAGTGCAGGGGACAGGAGCTGCCCGCCCACTGTGGGTCCCTGTTGGCTTGGACAGAGGCTTCCACTGAGGCCACAGCTAGGGCAGTTGGGAGCAAACTCTGGGAGCAAGGCAGAGGGCAGGCCTAGCACAAAGGAGGGATGGTGGCGGCTCCCGCATCCCAGCTGTGCCCGGCCTGGTCCTGGCCCTCCCTGCAAGGCCTTCCTGAGTCTCTAATGAATATTAATGAACGGAGGAGGGTGAAAAAAATTAATCCGCCTGGTCCTCCGACGGGCGCTGCAGTAACGATATGAAATCTAATTATTCGTCCCAATATTTCTAAACCCTCAAACTGAGACTGACAGCCTCCTGGTCGGTTTAGTGCTTATCGCTCTCGGAAGCAGCGTGCTCCCAGCATGATAAAAACACGCGCGTGCGCCCGCAACTTTGCTGACGCTGCACAGCCCCTAATTTCTCTGTGGAGTTTCTGGGTGGAGAGAGAGGGCCACCGCCATGTCCCCAGCCCTGGTGCCAAGCATGGCCTGTGCCTCCCCTGACGTCACCCATCACAGTCACCCCACAGTGCTGGAGCACCTGCTTGGTGCCACCTGGGTGGGGCTGGGTGCACAGTCCTATCTGTGCAGGGCAAGGTGAGGAAGAAGAGGGGTCAGGGCCAGGAGGTCCAGGCTGTAAGACAGGCTGACTTGGAAGGGGCCTGACACCCCCACTTAGGTGAGGAAAGGCTGGGGAGGGGGGGGCCTGCCCTTGGGGTGCAGGGCCCCCACCCTGCCAGCTCCCAGGGCAGAGAGAGCACAGCCCCTCGTCCTGTGTGAACCACCGGCCCCCAACCCCGGGAGCTGCTGCTGGCGTTGGGGCCACTGGACGTTAAGTCAGGAAGCGAATTTCAGCTCCTGCTTCCCCTGGGGGGTGACACAGCCTGGGGCTGCTCGTTATTCTCTTTCCTCTGTAGTTGTCTTTTTCCCCCCATTTCTGAACAGCCCTGGAACAGAAGCCTTTTACTCCGGGGCTGAAGGTTCCCCTCTGACCCTGTCCTGCCTGTTGGCAGCGGGGGCAAGTCGGGGAGGGGCCCATTTTTAACTTCCCAACCCAGGCCCTCTGCCAAGACTGTCAGAGATGAGCGTGGTGGCCGCCTTCCCTCTCCAGGCGACCCAAGCCCCACCTGGGACCTGGCTCGGCCTGGACAGGCGTGTCCAGGTCCGCAGAGAGCCGCGGCCCCTGCCCTGCTCATTGCCCCTCGCAGTCGCCCGACCCTCCCTCCTGGCTCCCTGGCGGCCCCACCCAGCCCTGGGATAGCAGGCGGCCACTTTAAATTCTCTGGGCGGATCTGAGAACGCTCCTTGTTTCCCCCAACAAAGAGGTCAGTGTCTGGACTCTGCGTGGCGATAACCATCAGAAACCCTATCTGCACCGCATCCGCTGCCACAGCTCCATCTGAGGCTGCTCCCAGACCTCGCTGCGCATCTCACCAGGCTGTGGGAGAGACATGGGCCCATCTTGGGGTGTGGGGGCCCACTCTGGGAGGGAGACAGCCCTTCAGAAGCCCAGCAGGGCCGTCTGGGCCTCCCCCGGGTCACCGTTGGCTTGAAGTACCAGCAGCAGGTCACGGTGGGGTCAGGGCTGTGTCTGTGGCAGCTGGTGGCTCTGATGTCCCTCCCTTCGTCCGTCAGCCCCTCCTGAGCCACCCCCACTGCATTCTGCTTCCCTTCACAAAAGGCCACATCAGCCGTGTGAAGGCCACTCGGCTCCTGTGGTCTCCGCAGGCCCCACGAGGAGCCCATTTCACAGAAGGCTAGACACACAGGACTGGAACCCGGTCTGTGATATGGTCACTGCATCCCCGCAGCCATTTCGCCACTTGCTCACTCATTCACTCGCCCGCTCAGGCACCTAGCCGACACTCCCTGAGGGCCAGCTGTGTGCTGGGGCTGGGGCGCAGTGAACAGAATGTGCAGTCCCTGACCTCCCGGGGTGGACACTGCAGTGAGCGGCCAGCAGAAACCACCAGTGGAGGCTGGAGGGGGACACAACAGAGAAATGGGGACTGGCTGAGGAGGGCTGGAGGCCTGGTGGGGCCAGCGGTTGGCAGCTGAAGCCAGGGCAGGCGGCCAGGCCTGGGGTGAGGAAGGAAACTGTGTGGATATCAGGGACAGAGGACAGTAGGGGACAGGGGATGGCAGGGGACAGGGGATGGCAAGGGCAAAGATCAGGTAGTGTGACTCGAGAGAATAGCCAGGTGTCATCCTGAGCCCCCCAAAGACAGTGAGTTGCAGGAGCTGGCCCCATGAGGGTGGTGAGCACCTGGAGAGAAGGTCAAAAGTTGAAGATGGTGTGTATGTATCACGATCCTCTCGCCAGCCATCCTTTATGCTGGCTGGTCTCAGCTGCCACCTCCGTGGCCCCTGGGCCCAGGGAGGGAACCCACCAAAGGGTAGGCCTGTGCCCATGGCTGCCCTGGCTCATGGGGTGGGGTGGGCCAGGGCCTAAGATGGAGAGGCTGCTCCCAGCCCTCAGCTTTGGTCTTTTGACGTGTCTGGAGGGGACGCAGAGCCCCCTTAAGCTCTAGGTGCCTGGGGTACTATCCAAGCTCCTCCCACTGCAGGCAGGGAAACTGAGGCATGGAGAAACACAGTTCCCAGGGACCCAGCAAGGCCAGGAGCAGGCCTGGACTGACAGGTCTCCTGTCTCCCCCATCTCCCCATAGCTGCAGGGCCC